ATTTTGCTGCAAAATGCTACTGCTGCCTCTGTGACTGTGATCTTATCTCACCCAGACAAAGTGCACAGCACTCCTCGCTTGTCCTTACAAGGAGCCTTTTCTTTTCTGTCTGTCTGGAATCGAGCCTTGGCTCAAGGTGGCTGGGCTGAGCTCTGCAGGACGAGGACGGCAGGAGCAGAACAAGTGTGATTTCCCACTTGCCAGCCGGGATTTGTGATGTGCCACGAAGGAAGATCGAAGGAAGATCCACAAAACCTCCTCCTGCTTGGCTTTGTCTCAGCCCAGGGCTGCCTGCAAACTGCAGGCAACGGGAGAACAGCTGATGAGTTCACCACAGCCACCCTTCCCGGCTACCTACATTAGCATAACAATTGCAGCCCCAGAGGCTGTAAAGAGAATACAGGCTTTAAAAAATAAACTAGAATTTAACAGAGAAATTAATAGCGTAGCAAGTTGTAACGCTGAGTGTGCCGGCTGCGTGTCAGTCTCGAGCGCCAGCTGTACGTGCAGCCCTGGCACAGTTTGATTTCCAGACCTTCCGCTGCATTTGGCCATCATTTCAATATCTACACTTCCATTTCCTGGGGAAAGAGCCTGCAGGGCACCATTCCTGCTGCCACTTTCCCCAAAAACCCGGAGTGTTTTGTGTCTGTTGCGTTTCTCTGCAGCCCTGTGATGTATTGGCATTAAAATGCTGGGCGATGGAAATTAATTTATGGCAGTGATAGCCATTAGAGCTGCTGTAGTCCCAGTCTTTGAGTGTTTTGGGTTATAAATCTTGATTTTTGAGGGCTTTCTTATTTAGTCATATATAGCTCAGCTATCAAAGCAGTTGGTAAATGCCAGCACTGGGTGCTTGCTGTGACCTGCAGTGATACCAGGGGCAAAACAAGAGCAGCTCACTCGCATTTTGTCAAGCACAAAACAGCTTCAGGGACACCCTGGTTGGTGAGCTGGAAGCTGTGGAGTCCCGTGGAACGCTGCTCACAGCCTTGAGGTCATCCGGATGTAAAATGGTTGTAATCCGAGATGCGGGTGATGCCTGGGAAGCCGAGGGTGTCCCCAGGACGAGCTGATGCATTCCTGTGCTCGTGGTTGTTGCACCAGGATGTTGAACTCACTCTAATGGCATTTTTTTGTTCAAACCCTCTGGAAAAGCAGCTATTTTGGTGGCTCTCTGTGCCAGCGGTGACCATGGCTTGTCTGGGGGAGCAGCCAGCACTGATGCCAATAATTCCTTTGGCTCTTTTTCTGACTGAGTCAGATCACTCAAGCATTAACCTTAAAATAGCAACTATTTTTTGTAGTTGATATAATTAATCTCCTCTGTGTGTATGTTCCTTCCCTATTCCAGGCTCTGATGCTTCACCACTCCCCTGCTGACCCACTCCTGCTTTGGCACAAGAAAACTCTGAGCAAAACTTGGCTTTTCCACAAAAAAAAAAAAAAAAAAAAAAAAAAAAAAAAAAAAAGCACGAACTACAGGCTGTGTGTGCTCTGCTCCGTGAGTTCACTGCCAAGCTGGTGCCTCCAGTCACAGATTCCTCGCTCATGTGGTCTGTTGGTTTTGGAGCATCTCCTCGATCTGTTTTTGGGTGGGTGGATGTGGAAGGGGGATGTTCACAAGCTGCCAGGACTGGGGGTGACACTGGCCACAAAGACAACTGTGATGGATGGGTGGGTGGATGTGTGGGTTTCGTGATGCAGAAGGAAAAAGCGGTTTGGAGAAGCCTGAGCGGACCCCGTGTGCTGCCTCGTCCAGCCCTGGGAAGGGGAGGAGCGAGGAAGGGGATGGGATGGGCTAACCAGAGTCCATCCCCTGCCTCTCTTCTCCCTTTCCTGGGGCAGCTCCTGCGTCAAAGCACATCTAAGGGTGCAAGTGTGCCATACTGGACACTGCCCCTTCCCCAGCTTCCCACCCCACGAACAGCTCCAGCCGTGCCAAGGTGGGATTCAGTGGGTGCTGTGCTTGGGCTGTGTGACACCAATGATTTTTTAGGTCTGAGCACATCAGCGAGGAGGATGAAGGGGGAAAGAAAAAACCATCTGTGATGAAGCACAGAGTGAGCACATGAGATCAGGACAGTCTGCACCTCGCTGCTTGCATGCAGTGCTATTCCCACGAGGCAGCTGCAATCCTGGCAATTAAATCAGGAAGGATGCGTTGGGGAAAGCCCCCGTGATGGCGTCTGAGGATGCTGATTAAATGTGCACAGCCTGGTGAGCCCACGTGGAACAAATGGCTGCGTGGCTGAGCCTGACAGACTTGCTGTGTCCTGGGCAAAAAGAACTCCGGGGTTTTATTAAACACTTTCAAGTAGATACCCGAGGAAGGAAAAGCTTTCTGCAGACGCACGCTCGGCTGTGCAGCCCACACAGCTCCCAGCTTTTACAGTCAGAACGTGCAGCATGGGATCCATCCCAACCTCCAGCGCTGGCGTGGCAGGAGGAGAAACAGCTTCCCTTGGAGCAGGAACCCGCTCTGACCAGGCAGCAACAGCAAATATTGCCCAGGGAACGCTCATTTCCATGGCTGCACTGTGTGGATCAGACAGCGGAAGCCCTGCAAGCACACGCTGCTTAATCAAAAAGCCAGCCCGGGTCACGCCTGGGCTGGCTCTGAGCTTGTCCTGCAGTTGCTGGTGGTGTGAGATGTGAGCAATGCCCAAGGTCTGTCTTGGAAGAGAAAGCCAGGGGGATTTATAAAGCAAAACTGCTCTAAAGGACTGGTCTGCAGTGGATTTTCCTCTGAGCAAACAACCCAGCTCCTTCCCGGGCACACTGACCACATTCCGCTGGGCACGATTGTTTTGTGTCCCAGTGGCTGTTCCGATTTCAATCCTGTCGGCCCCAGGAGTTTTTCCAGGCTTGGGCTGTGTTTCTCTGCCTGTAGAAATGTCACTTCATTCTAGAAAAATGTCACTAGGGTTGTTATTTAAACAGTAATAGGGTTAAAGCTAATAATTGGTTAGTGAAAGTGACTGGCTTGCATAGTTTCCAATTACTTTTCTCCTCGCGTCTGTGTGATTTGAGTTCTCTCCTCAGCGTTTCGCGTGATGGAGGCAGGGTAGAGTTTTAAATAGAATTAAATCCTTTCAACATCAATTTTGCAGCAGCAGAGCCTATGCTAGAATGCCTGTGCTGTTCAGGGAAGGTTTGGGACCTCGCTGGACCCCCAGCTGGGTACTGACAGGTCATGCTCTGCACACAAAAGGACACCCCTGCTGCGATGTGGCTACAGCCCAGGGAGCACAGATGAAGAGAAATACTGCAAAAATTGGAGTTTTGCTGATGGGCAGCAAAGAAGGGGCTACACGGGATGTTTTTGCAGCACATTTGGGGGCTAGACTGGAGTCTGCTGAGGCCTGTTGGAGTCGCAGGGAGGCCTTTGACCCTAAAAGCCATGCAAATGCTGGAAGCAGCTGGGAGGGATGCTGGAGGGGAGACACGGCCTCACAGAGCTCTGCCTGCCACGTGCTGCCAGTCCCCTGTGCTCAGTGCCACCCCTCCAGCTCATCCCCAGACTGTGCTGCTGCTGGGACGTGGTGACGGTGTTTTTATCCTCTTCTGCCTTAATGAGCTCGTTTGTGTGAGGCTGGGTAATGGAGGACGAGGCATTTTAGAAACATGCACTTGGGGAATGTATCCCTGGAGAAGTGAGTGTCAGGCAATGTTTGGCTGGTTAAAAACAATAAAGGTGCAAAGAGCAGTGCTGTGTCAGCTGTGCTCCTCTGTGTCCTCTGCAAACACCCCGTGTGTGTTGTGTTGGGCTCTCCACAGCCCCACAGACAGTTGTGCTGTATCCAGGCACAGATTTTCCCCCTCTTTGGTTGCTACCACGGGAGTCCAGGCATGCCCAGGCAGCTCCAGCAGGGCCCTCATTGCAACACAGGCAGGAAGAAAAGTGTATTTATCGTGTGCATCAGTACAGCTAATGACTGCACACAGACACCGAGCTGTGGAGGCACAAAGCCCTGCATGGCTTTGAGGTGGGGAAAAGCCGGGTGCTGCTGCTTTTAACACTTGCATGGTTTCCTGGCTGCACCACAAACCTGCTGTAGGTTGAATCTGTGGGGCTTTTGAAGTGATTGAACTCCTCCCCTCTGTGTACACATTGCAGAGAGTGTGTGAAGGCTCAGTGGAGCCCTGGTGTGAGAGAATGGTAGAATCACAGAAGGGTTTGGGTTAGAAGGGACCTTAACGATCATTTAGTCTAACCCTCTTTCTAGGCAGGGAGACCTTTCACTAAACCAGATTGCTCAGAGCCCCCTCCATCTTGGCCTTGAACACTTCCAGGGATGGGGCAGCCACAGTTTCTTTGGGAAACCTGTGCGAGGGCCTCACCACCCTCAGAGAGAAGAATTTCTTCCTGATACCTAATCTAAATCCTGCCCCCTGTCAGTGTGAAGCCATTCCCCGTTCCTCCAGCCCCTTCATGACCTTGTCCAAAGTCCCTCTGCAGCTCTCCTGGAGCCCCTTTAGGCACTGCAAGAGGCTGTAAGGTATTCATAGAGCCTTCTCTTCCCGGGCTGAACAAACCCAGCTCTCAGCCTGAACATCCTCAGTTGAAAGGGATCCACATGGATCTGACTCCTCCACGTGGGGAATAAACCCCTCTTCATCTGGGGAACCCAGGGGTTGGAAAATGCTTCTACAACTGGAGGTGTTGATGACCAAGGTCACCCCCGGACTCCGAGCTCAGCCTTGCTCCAGGCTCTGTGTTTCCACCGCCAGCCCCCCTTCTCCTCATCCCCCCGCTGCCATCAGCCCCCCCAAGCAGGATCCCGATTCCCGACATTTCCCTCCGAGTGTTTCCACCGATCCCTGCGGGGCGGCTCGGGGGGGTCCCGGCGGCGGGGCCGCTTTGGAATCCCCCGTCCCTCGGGGTCCTCCCGCCATTGGGAGCGGCGGGGCCGTGCCGGAGCCCCCTCCCCATCCCCATCCATATCCATCCCCATCCATCCCCATCCCCACCGCGCTCCCGCAGCGCGGGGCGGGGCGCGCCGCGGCGGCGGAGGGCGGGGAGGGCGCGTGGAGCCGCGGACACGCACACGGACACGCACACGGACACGGACACGGACACGCACAGGGACACGCACACGGACACGCACACGCAGCGCGGCCCCGCAGCGCGGCTCTGCGGCCAAACCCCGCCAACAAAGACCCCTCCGCCCCCCTCGCCGCCGCCCCCCGCGGGATGTAGCCGGGCCGGGAGCCCCAGCGAGGCAGCGGCCCCGCCGCTCCGTGCCCCGCAGCGAGGCCGGGAGGCGGCGGGCTCAGAGGCGCTGCCGCCACCATGGGCAAATCCAACAGCAAGTTGAAGCCTGAAGTTGTGGAAGAGCTGACCAGGAAAACGTACTGTGAGTGCCAGGGGGGCTGCCGGGGGGATGCCGGGGGTGTGATGGGATCCGCGCTGCCGCCCGGCCCCGCCGCTCCCCCGGGTCGGTGCCGCGGCGAGCGGCGGCTCCTGCGGGGCCGCTCCCGGGGAGGGCGCAGGCTCGGCCGGGCTTTGTTGGAAGAATTCAGGGATTGGCCTGGGAGGAGGAAAAAACCCATAAGGCAGCAGAGACACGGAGAGGGGCAGCGAGCCAGGGGAACGCGCTGTTTTTTTACAAAAACCGTCCTCCGTGGCCTATTTCTGAGCCTCCGGGAACGGCGGGGCCAGGGCCGCATCCTGCCCGCCCGCGGCGCCCAGCGGAGCATCGCGCCCTCCCTCGCCGCCCCCCGCCCCGAGCATCCTTCCCCCGGGTGCCCCGTACCCAGCGCCCGCCGCGGGGATTATGGTCCCCGCGCTGCCTCCCCGGAGCCCGGCAGCAGCTCCCGGAGCAGGGTGCCGAGCCTCTGGGTGGCTTCCAAAGTTTGGGTGCGTTAGTTGGAGGGGTTCCCTTTGTTATTGCGCTCTGAAGTGGAGAGAAGAGCCCGACACCGGCGAGTTCGATATTTATTGGAGTATCTCAGTATCGGTTTAATAACCTGATTTTCTGAACGAGTGGCTTTCCCGTCTGGACCTCCACCGTAATCTAATTAACGTGGCTGGTGCCTCAGCCATCCAGTTTTAGCAAAATCATTTTTTTCCCCTGAAGGATGCACAAAGGAAACAAAGGCTTTGGTGGCTCAAGTTTGCCTCCCCTCTCGCAGGTCGCAGATATTCCCCAAACGTGCAGCAGACCTGCGAGCTCTCCCCCCTGTCACTGCTGCAGTCCCACGGCAGCGCTTACCCAAAAAGGCAATAGATTAGGATGCAGCAAGTTCTCCCATATGGAGAAGAGGCAATACTGGTGCATTGCACAACCCTACACGCGGGGTTGCTCTCTGCCGTGGCACAGCCGGCAGCAGGCGGGAGGGCAGGTGCTGGGGGGCATGTCCGCATAGCCAAGCTGGCTGTGATGGTGGCAGAGGCTGGGGTACCCCGGCTGGGCTTCCTCAAAGTGCTCGGGGGGAGGAAGCCGTGAGAAGGTGGCAGTGCCAGGTGGGCACAGCCCCCGCTGGAGCTGAGCTGGGTTTCGGTGTCCTCACTGCAGCTGTCGCCCACGGCGAGTGCAGCCGCGCCGGGCCGGTGCTGGCGGTGCTGTGCTGCAATCCCCGCTCGGTTTGCAGCCACTGTGCCGACCTGATCTGCGATGGAGAGGAATCTGGGAACTGCCAGCCCCAGCACAGCCCTGTGTGCTGGTGATCTCCTGTGTGCTGGGCTTTCTGCGCACCTGGGGTGGCTCCTCTGCCCAGGAAGGTGCCGACACCAGTGGGGCTGACACGGGGCACGCAGGCAGTGGTGCCCCATGTCTCACTTGCAGCCAAAGCCAGCCAAACACAGCGCTGGTGAAACCAACATCTTTGGGCACAGGGATGTCTCTTAGCTAGATAAGGCCAGCAGGTCATTGCTTTTTTGAATCACTTCATTCCCAACTTTCTGCTCCTCTTTTGGGTGCCCTTCCCTTTCTACTGCATCCTTTCCAAGAAACCCTCAATGAGTTTCCAATCTATCTGGAGTTTTGCCTGCCTGCTCTGGACCTCTCACTGCCTCTTTTTAAAGATTCCTGTACCTGTGCAGGTGAGGCACCACCACCCAGCAGCACGTGGCCTTTTGCGTGGCTGGAGTCTGGTGCAGCATCCCAACGTGCCCCAGCAGCATGTGGCTGGTGTGTGGTGCCTGTCAGGGAGAGCTGTCACTAATTCCAGGGTCTGTTTGTTGAGCTCTGCTCATTCCACCTCTCATCTCTGGAATTAATTACTTTTGCTGTGTGCCTCTGCCCCTTTTCTGCAGCTGTCAAGGCGAGCATGCATTCCCTTGTCTGGTGAAGACTTTACAGGGCCCTCCCAGGCATGGCTGAGAGCCTCTGGTTTATCTTCAGACCATGGGAGATTGGAAAGATCCCAATTTCCTTCTGTGTTTTGGGGAAACCAGGCAGAGAGGCAGGAAGGAGGGCAGGGCTGTGCTGGGTGCAGTGGGAGGAACTGATCCAGACCCCTGTGCTGTGGCTGGTGGAACAGCTGGAGCAGGGACAGTCTTACACACAAATCCATGGCCTGCTCAAGAATTTCTGGGGGCCTGCTTCGAAAAGGTTGTTTGTTTTTTTTTTCACAGCATGTTGATATTTTGGCACGTTTCTGGCAGACAGGAGAGCATCCCTAGCCTGTGCTGCCCGTCCCATGTCCTGCCACATTGCTGAGCAGGTGCTGCCCCTGCCTTGTGTGTGCTGTTGCTGCTGTTGCTACAGCACATCTGGGCAGATGTCTCCAGCAGCCCAAGCTGATGGGAGCCTGCATTTGTCCCCGGGAGGTTCCTGTGGCAGCGTGAGCCGTGGCTGTGGTACGTGAGGGGCTTCTCCCACGCTGGGATTTCCTTCTATTGCATCATTTTCTGCTGGTGTGAATTTCCACACAGAACAAAGCAAATACCAAAAAGGCCCCTCTCACTTCTGCAGGATCAGAGGGAAATGTCACCCCCTCTCCCTGCCCCACATGGCTTTTCTGCTAATTTATCTCATCCACGGGACACAGGATATCTGCTTCCCCTCAGTGCTCTCCTGCCTGACAGCTTCTTGTGTCCCTTGTCCACTCTGAGCTCTCCATCTCCTATTTGTGGTGTTTCTCTGGCCTTGCCTCAGCTGCAGCAATCCTGGAAAAAGCAGGAGATGGAAGCAGCCAGGAGAGGAGTAGGGGAAGGCTCAGGTGCCAGGGCAGCTGTGGACAGGGAGGTTGAGCTGAGGATGCTGCAGGGCAGCCGTCAATGGCCTCCGTGAGCGGCGAGAAATATTTTCCTGTGTGCATTCAGAGCAGGTTGTCCCAGGCCCTGCTGGGAACTGGACATGGAAAGGCAGGAGCCTGGAAACCTCATCCCTTGGCTCCCCTCCCCACTCTGCTCCTGACTTCCAGTGCTGGGGGCCAGATTTTAATGGCACTTGGACACCTAAAGGCGCAGAAGGGCTTCTCTGAAGTGCCGGCTGCCCAAGTCCTGTTGGTTTGGACCCATCTCTGTGTGCCTTTCTGTGTCTCTGGGCACCTGAGTGCCCAGGAATACCTGGCAATGCCAAGCTCCACCGTCTGCCAGGTGCTGGAATAGTGCTGGGGGGGACAGCCAGGCTGCAGGGCTGTTTAACCCTCCTTGGAGACCAGGCTGGTGCCACACAGGAGCGTGCAGGAGAAGTCAATGTTGAGTGATAACAATACTGAATAATAAATTATGTAATTCTTTGTGCTTTCATAGATCCTGTCATTGAAAAGTGTTTAATAATAATAAATTTATTAATCCTTCTGACACCTCGTTGGGGTAGCTCAGAGATGCAGTTTGCTGGTGTGTCCTAGGAGGTGGTAATTCCCAAGACTGGAAGGAACCACCGTCCTCCCTGGATCACATCCTCTCCCATGGGGATTTAAACCTGAGCTTAACTTGGGCCAGGTGCTCACGGCTTAGGGCCACAATAGGATTTGGGATTGTGTTTAAGAACCTTGTGGAGCCGCAGTCAGCGGGCTCTGCTCAGCTGGAGGTTTGTGAAGGTGCTGAGGTGTGACTGCAGCCTGAATGAAGTGTGTGACGTGCACGTGTGCAGTTGTGGGTGCACAAAACATGCCCTGGGTGGAGAGGACTTGGTTTGGGGAGAGAAACTGGGAGAGAAGCACAGTTCTGAATGTCCCTACTCACAGCAACACTCCCAGGCCAGGAACCCTTAAAATCATGAAGCAGTTTTAAAAATGTGCACTTTTTTTCAGAAGAGCACCTTTCAGCTCTTTTTTCCCAGTCATTTTGGGGAAGGTTGGCTTTCAGGGTTCCCTTTGCACAGGTGTTGCCCATGTCCAGAAGTGGCTCTGTGTTATTTTTGAGGCTGCAATAGCTGAGCAATCAGGCATGCTCAGAGCTCTGCCGGTGCAGCAGCATGGCTCTGGGGCCAGGCTGGGGTCGGCATGCTTGGGGATGGTGGTCCTGGTGCTCCTGAGCCCACAGTGGGGCTCAGGTGAAGGTGTGGGAGCCACGGTGAGGGTGCCAAAATGACAGCCAGGCTGCAGAGTGGGTGCGAGGAAGATGCTCTTTTCCCAAGAACCGCATCCCACCCACTGTGATCTATTTTGTGGATTTTAAACTCGCTCCAGCATCATCATTTTCTGCTCTTTCACAATAAGCCACAAAATTGGCTCCATTGCTCGACAGTAATGCAGGGAATTAAAGGGCATTAGTTTAAGAGCAAACTATAAACATATTGATTTGTAGTTACGGGGGTATGTGGTGGCGGGTGGAATTCTCTGGGAAAGGAAAGGAAATTCTACGATTGCAGCAGTTTTCAGCCAGGAAAATGGGTTGGTTCCTTGCTGGCTGAGCCAGGCTGGGGCTTTTCTCCATCATGCCACCCCGGTGCTGAGGAAATGTGCTGGCTAGGGCAGTGGGCAGGAGCAGAGGAGGGACCTTGGTCGCTCCCCCGCTGCTGCTGGTTTATTTTTAGCCTCAGAAGTGTTTGGCCCCAGGCACTGGGTATCTCTGCCAGGTTGGTTTGTGTTGAAATCCCTCCTGTTGCTCATCCAGCAGAAAGCAGGCTGAGCTGGCCAGGTGGCTACGGACCCGTTATCCCTCAGTGGCAAAGGCTGGGTGAAATTGTCACTGTGGGTGACTTTTAGCAGGGCTTGGAGTGACAGGGCAGGCAGGAATGGCTTCTAACTGGCAGAGAGCAGGGTTAGATGGGATATCAGAAAGAAATTCTTCCCTGTGAGGGTAGTGAGGCCCTGGCACAGGTTGCCCAGAGCAGCTGCTCCGTCCCTGGAAGTGTCCAAGCCTGGGTTGGTTTGGGGCACTGGGGCAGGACGATGGGCAGGAGGTGCCAGAGGGATGCCCAGGGGCTGGAGTTTGTTTGGGGCCTGGTTTTGTTGCAGCCAC